GTACGTAATTACGGAACGTACACATGTGGCAGTTGTTGTTTCCCCGTCCGTTAAGATGTGAATAAATGGATGAACAAAGATGTTCCATGCGTTGCGATATGCTTGTCGTCCATCGTGTGTGTATATGAGTGTGAGGGAGTGAGTGAGTGTAGTCCGCAGGGGTGAGCCAGTGTGGCCCGCGTAAGCAGAAGCGCGCCAGCAGCATATTCGCGGCCGTGTTTTATGGCGGATGGCGGTGCTGCCACTGTCTCTGCCGTTGATCGTCTCGGCGATCACATTTGACCTTATATTTGATGAACTTAAAGGATCTCCACTAGCCCTATTATCCCCTACAAGGAATATAACCCTATCCGTTGTGGACCATAATCTTCTAGCCGATACGGTAACTATAGCCCAGGTAGATGTAGGGGTAAAATTGTCCTTATCAGTGAAATGCCTCTCCGAAACGTCGGTTCATATTTCGACAGCGGGAAAGAATTCGTTACTGTATTCACCGTCATTATGCTCTTCGGCAAATGGTCAGTTTATCATGCTTGGTCCATGTGTTTACGCACTTCTTATTTATGCGTGGTTATGTTCCATATTGGCAACAATGAGCGTTAATCCCATGTTTGGGGCGATTTGTCCGAAATAAACATGACTCTCGAGAAAATAGTACAGTATGGAGAAGATAATTCTAATCCAGAGAGATAAAATAAATCTAATTTCACAAATTCTATCATTTTACTGGTGAGACAAAAATTAGTCGATTTTGTGTTGCGCCATCACTAAGGTTTTAGTAAATTCGTTTTTTTTTTTCGTGGAACCTTGCTAGCACTGTCAGCCATGATTCATCTTTAATTCAAGCGCAATGTTCTATTGAAAATTGATTAATTAGTCGTTGCACTTTCCCTTGAAGCAATGAACCTAGGCGCCAATGAACGCGCTACAAAATCCTGAAAATCGCAAACAAGCAAAGGTATCTACCTATAGGCTGATAATCTGCTCATTCCTCCGTTACATCAGTCAAATATGATGAATCCGCAAGGA